AGTATTCCTGAGATTCGAGAAACTTTTGATACTAGCGGTGAAGGAAATAATGGAAATTTTGGGAATGAGAGTAGGGATGACGGAACGGGATGGTACAGGAATCGGCTAAAAGTTAAAACCTCTTTGACGTAAGTAAAATCAGTCTAAATTATTCAATAAATGTTTGAATAACTTCCATGATATTTGTGTTTTGTTTTATTTTATTTTTATATTAATTTGTTGGGTGTAAAAGCGGATAGACATTATTTGAAGATGTCGTATTAAAATGGATGAATTTCGATTTGTTTCTAAGGCGTTTAATATGGTTTTTGTATGGTAAACAGGAAATAAAGTTTCGCTGAAATTGAATTTTTTAAATTTTACTTACGTTAGTAAAACGTCATTAACAAATAAACAAACAATTCATTGCAGTATAAATAGAAAAGCAAAAATCAATTTACGGAAAAGTGGATATTTAAATACTGTTCATATTTTAGTTTAGAGCGCAGTAATTTTTAAACGACGTTTTTAATATCTAAAATTTATGTTTGGTACGTGATTAGTAAAGATGCAGATTGTATACACTTTGTATAATTGCATTTAGTTACACCTACCTCTATATATATCCTAGGTATAATAATTATTTCTCTGTCATATCGTCATGTCATTTACAACAGACTTTCGCACTTAAAGCTTTCATTAAATATTTAAAACCGTCATTATATAACGAAGGCTAGCGAATAAAATCAATTGTTCAAAGGAAATCAATGTATCTGGTAATATAAATAGACGTTTATTATATATTTGGTCAACAGGACATGTTTTTTATTTTATTGTGCGAACAAAACAGTTGAATAATAGTCAGTTTATACAGTCAAATCTTCGTAACTCCTACTTTGTAAATGTAGCCCCTTACCTCCGCATCTTTCTTGCGGATCCTGACTTCCGCATCATTCTTGCGGATACTGACTTCCGCAACCTTAACGCGGCCGCTGATGTTCCAGATAGACAAAATTCGAGTTTAGAAAATTTTTTGCCTTTTTTTTCAATTTTAAAAAAGCAAAAAGGAACCTCTGATTATATTCCTGTATATTCCCCCTCTTGAATGTTTATTTTTTGGTGGTTTTACGCACCAGTACGCATTGATTTGAGATTATCTGTAGTGGGTGAAATTAATTCAAAAATTAATTCACTAATACATTCAATTAATGCTACAAAAGTTCAAAGTATCTCAAAAAAGTTGTTGTTCCTTATTAAGTATTCATTAATAATATATTTTACCATGTAAAATATTCACATACAGTTATTTTATTTTTGTTGCTTGTTACAATGAAAAAATTGTTGTTGTTAAACAGCTTATTATACTGATGAAAAATAAAACAATTATTAATTTAATTAATGCAACATAAAAAATTAGACTTGCGCTAATTGATGATTTTGTTTATATGGATTTCCATCAAAACATAAACCACATGTGTTAATATCGAGTATCTAGTACCATAAATTATTCATTTTATTTGTATTTTTTGTTATAATAATTCTATATTTAGATGTTCAATAACCGGAAAGAAAAAACGACTTGGTTTTATAATTGCCGTAATTTTTAAAATTGTCATTAATTAGAGTTGGACTGCCTACTTGAAATTTAAAAAAAGGGCTTGAGGCGTTGGGGATCCCTCCTGTTTTGTTCATTCGAAAACTGGTTAACCAATTGGTGTATCACGTCCAAAAGTAATACCACGGTCACTAAATGTATTATAAAGCGATTTTGTTCCATTACTAGTCTCCTTCTTGAAAATGTCAGGTAAACATTTGTGTGTGGTTGTTGCTTATTGTCGCGTTTCAAAATACCAACAAATTTTATCTCTCTATTTCAACATATAATGTGGAAAGAGGAGACGAAAAGGTAAATAATAATAATAATAAAAATTGAAAATTAAATTTGTATTCTTTGTTCTTAGTTATAACTATTTTTAATCAAGTTAAAAGTCTTGTAGAGGTTGATATAGCAATATTAGCATCTAGCAAGGACGACCTATAGATAGCTTTAAATAAAATGGAAGCGGTACGTGTCCAAACAGTCTTAGGATTGACAACTTTATGATGATGAGAGGTTTCTCATTAACTCGAATATCTTCGTTTCTCTAAATTAGAGATGATTCGGGTATCCGGTTTGGACCCGGCAACCGGTGGTCCGGCGCCCTTTTTAGGATCCGGCCGGGTACCTGATAATAACTCTGGGTACGTAGAANGATGATTTTTTTTAAGAAAATTACTTTTATTATTTTGTAAATCTAATTTTGGATAGTTCTTTAGTTTTTATTGATATACTAGATTTCGCTTATGTTGGCCTCTATTTTTTTTGGGTAAAAGGTACCCTAGTGCTTTTCTGTAACCCTGAAAATGTATGTATAAAATTTACCCGCGGTTCCGCACGCGTTAATGTCCTAGATACGTATCAGTGGTCATGGACGACCACAAACAACTAATTTTTTTGTCCCTCGCGAACAGTATACTTTTTTTGGATAAAGGTACCCTTTGTCCCTTCCTGCATCCCTGAAAATGTGCATAGAAAATTTCATGATAGGTTTTACTCGAGGCTTTGCTCGCGTTGATATCCATAAAACCAATTTTTCTATCCCTCGGGAATGGTATTTTTTTTAAGGATAAAAGGTACTCTTTGACCTTTTCTGTACCCCTGCCAAAGTGTGTACCAAATTTTTTGATGATCAATTGAGTACTTAACATTTTTAATAGTTCAATTAACTTCATTTTCTTAAATTAATTATTTCATTCCAAAAAAATCATTGGAATCATGATTTTAATCAATTGATTTAAATTATCTCAACCCTGCTGCTTATAAAGTTTTCTCTAAATTTTCCGAATTTCTTCTTCGAAAAACTTTGAAATNAAATTTTAATATCATCAATAATAAATAATCCAGTCTAGCATGAAGCCTTTTTTTATTAACAGTTACAGGGATAAAAACATAGAAATTTCTTATTGTTAGATGATGATAAAAAGATGAAGCAAAAATGAGTTGAAAATCTGCGAATGTACAGTAGCTGAAAGACGAACTTTATAATTTGTTATCTCGCACAGAGTGTCAAACAAGTGATGCGTTATACAATCACGCGAAGATAACAGCATCACTTCAAGGGTATTGTGGTCACTTTTTGCAAAGGTCACTGTCGGTAGTTATTAAGGCTATCGGAAAGCGTTCTTCGGGTTTTGCTCTCAGTGAAGTTTCGAATTTTGAATCAGAAAGTGTACTAAAAAGAGAGTGCGTAGTTATTTTTCATTGTTTTATATTCAGGCACTTACATATGAAAGACTCATACGTATTTTTAGAAGTTTTTTTAAAACAGAGGTACGTATCCCATCTGCATAATTAAAAAAAAAAGATAATTTTGAACATTAAAATTTGTATTACGCTTAATCCAGACCTTTTATCTTTTTTGTTTTCTAATATTCATTTTTATTTTGCTACTTCATTCATTTTATAAATTATCAAAAAAGGTAAATGAACATAGCTTATGAACTCTTTGATTTATGACCTTTTGTTAGCTATGAAATAGTGCCATATATTCACTATTAGGGTCCATATCTGTATACGTACAACCTCCGCCACTTCAGCCTCCTAAATGCAACCAGTTGTGTTCGACTTGAAGAAACTACGAGTTCTGTATTTTTTTTTTCGAAAACATTTCTTCTAATATGCTTACTACTATTGTCTATTTACCCTTACAATTTCAAATCATGATTAGAAAACATCATAAGTACTTCGGTCGTGTTGTCTTTTCCTACCGTAACCTTACGATTCTAACCTAATCTGCAGTTTAATAGTTCCACCATAGACTCATTGATTATTTTTGCGGTTGATTTTTCTCAGAAAATTAATAAAGAAATGCAGAAATTTAAGTTAAAAGGTTTTTAGAATATATGAAAAAAAATTGCTTAATTTTTCAAAAAGCAAAATTGGATATTACAAATGACAATGTTTGTATCCTACATGAATGAAACTAAGACAATATCCACAACAATTCATTGTGGGTGTCCATTATTCTTTTAAAATGCATCATTAATAATGAATGACATATAGGTGGTAATTTCTTTTATCTTTCGGTTTTGTTGCAGGAGTTCAACTTCATTGGTTATAATTATTTGTGGGGAGGGTTATTCGGTAAAACGTTAAATAAAAAATGACATCAGAAACAGATAATAATACACAAGATGGTGGGATTCATTGGACGTTGGGGGATGATGAGACTCGTGATACGTTTCCTGTCAATGGGGACGTTTTCGACGATAATCAACCCCCTCCAGCTCGTTCTGATGGACAAGGGGTGTTGAAACCCTCTTTAACCCCCGAAGATCAACTTAAACTGATGGAGAAGAGAAAAACGTTGAGGTAAGTTTGAAAAATTTAGTAATTGACATCTCGTAATAATTTATTATCGATCAAAACTAATAAAAAAGTTACAAGTTCATAAAAGAAATAAAGAAATATGTTCTGCATATAGAATAATTGCGTACACTTGCTTATTTAATTATAAATGAGTTGATATATAAAATATGTGAATGGATTTTTGTTCTATTAACGCAATAGGGATTTTTTAATTTAATCTGTCGTTAGGAGTAATTTGGTTAATTAACACCACTAGACATTAAAAAAAAACATTAGGAAAAATGAATAATAATGGAACTTTTGCTATAATTTCTAACGCTTATTAAAATTAAAAAAGGAACTGAAACTATTTGTCAATAATGGTAGATTTTATTACCTATTGGATTTTTTAATTCATGAAATTCCTGGTTGAAATTATGTTTATGTTTACGACTAATAACTAACTTAAGAAATTAATATTAATGTTACGGAAAAATTTTACGCTGGTTTAAAAACGGTTTGCCGCTCATTTGCGATGATGGTATCGATTTAATTATTCGATATCGTTTTATATCATTCCACCTGTTGCTAAATAACGTGGTAGAAAAGGACAGTGAATCGTTTTTCGTGCTTTTTCGTGTAAGTTCGTGGTTTTCCGAGAGCGGGTACAGATGTACTCGCACTTTGGTGTGGTTTGACAATAAACCAACTTTACACAAGCATACATGGAAAAAAAATTGAATAATATCAATTTTAGTTAGAATTAGTGCTGTGCGGAGTGATGTTGGTGTTGGATGATAAAAAGAAAGTGAAATTCTGTGATGAAACAAATTACATGTGCGAAATATTAAGTCGCTTTGCGGTGTGGGCTGATCAATACAGCATTCCTCTCTCAATTACTGTAGGTTGTGCTGCTGTTTTAATTATATTTTTTTTATTTGCAGTACTTACATTTACGTAATTGTGCAGTGCTAGCGGGTTAAACTATGAAAACATTACACATTCGAAGATTATTACTTAATTAATTAATATTTATTTTTCTAAATTTAAATTTTT